AATATCGGCCTTATAAAACGTAACATAATGAGAAATTGTGCGAATGGCCCATAACGTCTGATCCCGATATTGATATTCCTCTTTACGCATATTCTCATTTGCACAAGCGAGAATCTCCACACTGATCTGGGATTCTCCGAATCCAGTGGTTGGCCCGACGTTGTTCAAATGTTTGTCCTGTAAGAAAGTTGCTTGAGATGACGAAAATAACTTTTATTCAAACGGTCACAACCCACATACGTCGACTACCACAACAAAGATTTTTCTTTTCTTTATTACAAATTCCGGATCTGACGATACACAGGGTGAATCTTCAATGTATAATCTGCATAAGGGATGATTTCTAAATTTTAAAATGTAACTTAGAAACAGATACTGACCTGACCCTCAAGGGCCAGTCATTCAGCCCAACGACGATGCACAGTAGATCGTCCACAAGTGTATCAGTGATTGTTTCCTCTGTGCCCACCACCTGCATGCCATTCATCACGACGTCATGCAGGTTCGCAAGAAAAGTGCGAACTTTATTCGTAATTCCGTCAATATTTTCAACGTCAAACAATGGACTTGCGAGTACTGCAAGTGTGATATGGGGGAGAACATACTCTTCTGGAATGCTTGTGTCTGAAAATTATTTAGTTTATGTTCGCTGAGAGGACAACCGATAAAAATAGCTCGTACCTTCAACTGTTGGTATAACATCGCTCTCAGCAGATGCTGGGTTGACTCTCACTCTCAATACCTCAATGTGGGAGTTCTTGAACAGAGAGGCCGAAGAAGGGAGGTCGTCCAAAGTCATAACTATCACCAGAACCGGAACTGAGTCTAAGATTACTGGCGCCCGCTGCGAGGACCGAGTCGTCTCTGGCAAGTTGCAGGCGTTTGGATTGTCGTGGAGCGCCCTCACTTTCGTCTTCGACGTTTCGTTTTGGAGGCATGATGACAAAAAGGTCCTATTGATTCGATAAAAAAACCTACATCGCCTGACCATAGCAAACTTTTACTGGCTGAAAAACAAAAAAAAAGTTTTTTGGTTCGAAATTTTTATGGAATAGTAAATGAACATACAATATCAATTGCAAGGCATATTTACGATAATTGATACAGGACAAATCATATGAAAACAATACTCTATAAGAATCAATTAAATCTTTTTCTACAGGCTTAACAACTGTCTTTTGTCTCTTTATTATTCGTTAAAAACAAAGTATATACAGTATATTTGCATATTCACTAGAGCGATTGCATGGGAGGAAATACTCAGACCCAAAGCCATTGATGAGTATAACCTATTCTTTGGTCGCTCTAGTGAAATCTATGCTATACATTATAATTAATGCTATTATCGTCTTCATTTCCCTTCCCTTTTTCTTCATCAACCCACTCATTTACGCCTTTGACAGTCGTTTTCCGTGGATGGTCTTTCTTCGGTAAAAGTTCTTTGATATAGAGGCTGCTGCAACGCCTTTTTCCTTGCGTAAGTCGCAGATTTGAGTGGCCACTCGTTAAATGAGCAATCAGATTCCAGCTCAGATTTCGTATCGAATAAGGGTTTAAAATATTTTCACAAATTGTCAATGAACGGTTACTTTTAGATTTTACTTCGATCATTTTTGATTTAACTGCTTGAACTGTTATCTCAAGCTTTTCGTTCACATTATCAAGTTGATTATACATTTCATAGTGGAGCGAGAGATCAAGGATAATTCCGATCAACAACCCGCAAAAGAATTGAATAATGAAAACAAGCATTTTTGAATTGTTTGTTGTTTGCAGTTTTTTTATCGAATAAATTATTTCGATATCAATACTGGAATGATTTTATGATTTAATTCTTCTGAGTTAAAATATAAGTACAAGTCGTGTTATTTTTATAATTCATCAGGTGCCGATCAGATTGTGTATAATATTAATATTACGTTAACAGTTACAGATTTGAAACAGTTGATTTGTCATCAAACAGTCTGATATTTGATGCAAATGAACAAAGGCGTCATCGTTTGGATTGGTTTGCTGGTAAATAGAAGTCGGATGAATAGGTCCCTCATTGTTGACAAAGAACCCGTCCCAGATTTGACGTCTTTATTAATAATAATCCAACAGTAACAAGAAAACAGCTATTTGTTTTATGTTTCTAATTTTCGTTTCTTTCTTGGTTTATCATATGCTGACGTTAATGCTCGTTTATTAGTTATGATTTTCCTTTCTTCTTGATAAATTTCATAAGTGATTTTTTCTTGATCTAGATATGCCTGGAGAGTTTGGGTATCATTGATTTTAAAAACATAAGGTGCAATTTTCTCTCCTTGTTCTTTTTTCAAGATGCTTCTAATAGTGCTGTAATTCTTGGGTTCCATGGTAGATTTAATGTAAATTAGTTTCATATTAATAATTTTATATAGGGATAGTCATATGCCAATTTGTCTTTTACAATGGCTGTGCGCCAGTCCACCTCAATGTCAATGTCTAGTGTAATGTCTGAACTACCATGTGAGCGACGCGTTTGGAGATGAAAATGTGCTTCCCCGGCCGGGTATGTGCAGACGAGGGGGTCAATGCATTCTGAATTCAAGATATACAGGGTGGACGAGAGGAATCACAATGTACAGATTATGCGATCTGACAAAGCGGTCAGTGAAAGAACTATGTATATATCAGTTTCTTGCAGGTTCACTGGGATCAGTCACTTAGGGTCCGCGGACCAGTGGTCCGGTCCGGTTCCCTCCTAACTCGACTCGGTCCTCTGGTCCTCTCAGTCTGGATTGGTTAATCACATAAATTGGGTTCAATTTGTAGGCATCACTGCCCATGAAGGCCACAATGAACTCGAATATTGATGCAGGGTTTTTTGTGTAGAATGGCAACAAAACGAAAGTATTGAATGCAGAGGTTAACAGGTACCTTGCTGCCTCCCTCACTGGTGACAAGATTGACATCTGTGCATGGTGGCAGACCTATTCATCCGATTATCCCTTCTTGCCATGGATTGGATCACCATGATGCCTACTAGCATGCTTTGCGAACAATTGTTCTCGATTGCCAGGAATGTAATAACGAAGAAACCGCAGTAGATTGTTGCCAGCAACGGCACAAGCCCTTTTGTGTCTCAGGTCATGGCTTGACTTTGAGAAATAATAATTTGGATCAGATAGAGGAAATGGCACTGAGAAATATGGTTCAGCCAATCCTTTGTAAAATGGCCAATCTTTTGTAGGATGGCCGATCATTTTATGTACATATTTATGGATGTAGGGCAAGAAAGCGGGAATAGACAGTTGGATTTCTCCCGAGACCTCTCTAGAACTATTACAGTAATGATTGATGATTTTATGTCAAGAAAACAGGTTTTCAAGATGGTTCAAGAATCGAGAGGTTCAGGAAATTCTCTTTATATTTATCCAGAAAGGATGAAAAAAAAAAGTTCTTTCCCCCCGTCGAGCTCACACACACACTCACACACTATGCCACATCACTGCACTAACTGAAATATTACAAAACGGTGTTTTTGAACCGCCCGGACCTATTGAACCGGACCGTTTAGTCAGTCCGGACAACATACATAGTCAAACTCGATATAATAAAGTCACTTTAAGATAAAATCACTCTAAGATAAAGAATTTTCCCACCCCGAATTTCAAAATATTATACAAATGATCCTCGATAAAATAAAACCTCGATAGTTTAAACCATTACCCCCAGCCCGTCGACTTTATTATATCGAGTTTGACTATGTAGCGAACTTTCGTTATGATTGGCTAATTTTGTAGATCATTTTTTTAAAATATTATTGGTTAACGACTTTAATTATTCTCAATATGAATGAACTAAAACATCGAAGAAAAAGATAAAAATTGACTAATAATATTCGTAATAACATCTTTCTAATTATACGTTTGCTAAAGTACTTATTGCTCTTTCGATAAGTAAATCTATATTATTATCCAAAGAAAAGTCTTCGATGCTGATATTAGTATCATCACTAGTTTCAACAATATCCGATTCATTTACACACTCATCTGTAACAATTCTATCAAATGAATCCAGAGCTTTTTGAAATGCTTTACAGTTCTCTTCAATTCCACTTACAAGATAATCGGCACAATATTGACATTGACTCTCTAGCTTAAATAAAAAACATTCAAAGTGGTAAGCGTGTCCACAAATCAAAATACAACCTACCTCGGAAGAATTTATACAACTTTCTAAATCGCAGTATCTATCTTCTCGAGGAGGAAATGCCATACTCCAAGCCATCGGCAATATCTTAACTTCAGCTTTAGTTTCCAGCGTTGGAAGTTCATATAATTTGGATTTTGAACGTACCTCTGACGAAATAGCCTTCGATTTCCCAAGGTTCGAGTGTACATTCGTAAATAAATTTATTAAAAAAAGTGCAGTACTTTTTTCAAGAAATTCTAGCTGGCTTAATCGAATATCTAATATTATGATCCTCAGAAAACACGTTAGTAAAAGAAGTACCACCACGCATCTGATCGACTATTCGTGCTTGCTGAACAATTTGTTCCACAGTGCTTGATTTCTGTATTTGTCATCGAAGAGAACTGTGAAAGTTTTCCACATAGTAGTCATTAAAAACGTGGAGAGAATCTGAAAGAACTTGCGAAATAGGATGATTAGTATTGGTCCAAAAAAAAACGTCACTCAAAAACGCTAATGGCCTCCGGTGGTAAATCGAAAAATTTTACTAACCGTTCCGGGGTCTTCTTGAATTTCTTTCCCTCCTTGCCGTCTCGAGCTGTGGATATATATAAATTGTGTTTAGGGTGAGAACACGTATTAGTTTTTGGTTTTTTTGCATTTACTATTAATTTATTATAATGTTTTCGGCATAGTGCTTTGCCGACCAAGTTCAAATGTTGACTTGAACTTGGTATTGTTGTATGTCAGATCGGAATTTATGTCAGTTCGGAATGGACATATGTCAATTTCGAATAGACATATGTCCATT